AAATCCTGGGACTACTTTTTGCACCAAAAGTGAGACGAATTAAAAAATAGTAAGAACCCTGCCACTCAACACCGTGTAGATGCCACAAAGAAGGATGAATTGGAAGGAGCTTGAAGGCGTTAATGATGTCAGTCTTACTGAGCCATTCCCCCGTCCCTGCATTCATAATTGAGTCAATGGCGTTATCAATGGTGGGATACTGAAGGGAGAATTCCTCTGAAGGAATGAGAAAGTTCAGACTAGGGGTCGTGGAAGAGTGGGGAGCAGAGAGGTGAACAATCAACCTTTGCTTGGATGAACTTTTACCAGAGACCACCACTATAGGGTTAGTTCTCCATACTGAGAAAGGTGGGGAACTAAAGGGCCAAAGTAGGAAACCTTGATGCAATTCAATATGTAACAGAGCGTTAACAGCTACTGGATAGGCAAGGGTGGACAGCAGGTTCTTGCATCCTATAATGCTGTATGGCATGTAAATGATTCCAGTATGAAATCCTTCCGTGAACCCAGTCACCAAAAACTCCACCAAGTGGGGTGAGGGATGGTTATGCAATAAGTCGGCGAAACAAGTCACATTGATTGAGGCCATGTAGGGTTTGGGAAACATTTTAATTGGACACATTGTATTGGCATGTGCCCTAAAACAAAGAGAACACACATGCAACAACCGGCAAGCACTAAATCCACAGGAACCTGCATTACAGTTTTTGCAAATCTGAGATTTACCCAGAAAAACAATATAACACCCAAGCTTGTCCTTAATCACCTTCTCAGGTTTAGCTGAGAAGGTCGGGAAAGGAAAGGTAGTACCCAGCTCCAGGGTATTAGGACATAGGTTGGTGGCATGTGAGGATGAAGAGCAAACACCACAAACTGGGGACCTGAGGGCCGCAAAGTGCCTGCAAAACAGCTCCGTGTCCAACTGGCTCCAGTCTGTCTGAAAATTCAACTGAGCCAGAGCTGCATACACCTTCAAAGAGAATGATCTATGGTAATCATAAAATTATGTACCTCCATACTTATGCTCCAGGTTCACCAGCTTGTGTAAATATAGATCGAATTCCTCTCTGCGCTCAGGATATACCGAGCACATCACATCCTTATCAATACCAGAGGCCAGGTCGAACTCAGGAATTTACAACTACCTATTCAACCTGACATCGCCATCGGAATACGTCTTGTTCTCAAGAATATCTTGGGAGGCAATCAGCAGCGAAACTAGATTGACATCCTTGCCCTCCAAGATACCCTTTTTAATTTTAGCTGGCACCATGTGAGCTGGGTTCATAATGTTTGGGTTCTGTAGTGGACCAATGAATTTACCAGTTAGGGTGCCGCAGAGACCAGTAGGCTCTGGAGTAACTAATCCAGATGGTGCCACTGGCTTATCACTAGCATCCAAACGGTCCAGCCTATCAGTAATCCATTACAATGAGGACAAGACTGATGATAGGAAGGCCTGGAGGTTGGATGACTGGGCACCACTGGGGCCCTCACCAGCCCTGGTGTTATCCGTGTTGGTGTTGAGCAGTCTATAAAGTTCAGCCTTCCTGGCAGTGGCAGGGTAGGGAATGTTCCTACTCCTTAATTCGGCTGTGATCCTAGGAATGATCCAAGACCTGAGGGAAGACGGGCTGGTGTTGTCCCCTCTGTGAGATGGAGAGATGGACCTTGCAGGAGTGCTGGGAATTGAAAAATCCTCAAAAGCTTCTGGCAGTTCAGACATGCTAGGATAGGACAAAGTGATAATATCATACTGGCTAGCTACCGAATGTCAAGTGGCATTGAAATTATCTAACAATAGAGAGGGGAGCCCTACTAATTGCCAAGTGACATGAGAGGCTCTAGCTATGTGTTTGCCCGAGGGGATTTTATGGCCACCAAAAAATGTGTCAGCCTCTTTGTGACCAGTAAAGCAAAAGATAGCATGGGAGTGACAGGGGAGGCCCTCTCTATACCATCATGCAAGGAAACTAACGATGAAGTGGCCATTAGGCGTAAGTACCTCCGAGTTTGAGGATGGGTGTTGGCCTCTCGGGACCACTAAGTAAAGGCAAGAAGGCCAGAAAAACTAAATAAGTGGACTCTGAAACCTATCTTACCCTATTACCAGTTGCAGGATGGGGATGGGGGGAAGGTGTAACGACCACTGGATTTATATATCTGTTATATCTGATTTGTATAGAGTAGGACAGAGTAGTTGGAACCCGAGCAATACCTGTGAGAGTAATAGCAATGTTGTAGTACCTGGATCGCGACTGTTAAATAGCCTAAAAACAAAATAATAAGAGATACCTACCAGCCAATAGACTACGCCTAAAACAAACCAGCAAAACGTAAGTGGTAGTAGAACCAGAAGGGCCTAGTACCTAATAACATAGAAAGAAACAAATTAGGTTATCTAGGCAGTGAGGGTCAGATTGTGGATCCCAAGACAAATTTAAAAAATCCTAATCGATGTGAAATCGTAGAAATCGAAAAAAGAGGAGATGATAGTTTAATAGTAGAGTGACTTCAATCTGTAATATAATACAACCAACATCAGAACCTCCAAGAAAGCATAACTAACTACAAATTGACAGAAATAAAAAAGACCCACCTAAAGCGAGTGGGATAATTGAAAATGAGCCAACCAGAACCTCTGAAACTTAAAAAACCCTCAGAGGCACAGCCAAAAGAAACATTCAAGCCCAGCAACCTATAAAAAACATCTTGTTACAACATATCTAATAGGCAGAACAAAATCAGCAACAACGCGTTGCTTAATTAAATTGAAACAGTGAAGCATTTGATCAGAAATTTTAAACGTGCAGTACTCCCCTATAGCCTGTAGAGGCCAGCAGCCTTTTAGGCATATACATGTGTGAATGATCACATAGACCCAGAGAAAACCTATTACTATAATAGGGCATTCGGTTGTAATTATACGAACGCCCCCAAAGAAGAGCAAAGAGCCACATAACCCTTCATAGGAAGCGCCAGCCCTGAATCTTTAGTAGACATTCCTCCCCACCTGCCCAAAGGTTTTATTTACAATTTTTTTTTTAAAATGTATATTCATGTGGTGGCAGGCTAGCAAGAACTGGCCAGCCACCACATAATTTACCCCCTCACTGCCAAGAGTTTTTAACTATTTGCCTGCTGACTGTTAGCACCATCAGTGGGCTTCAAATTATCATGCACTTGCAAATAGCAAGTGAATAATAATTTGCAATTCCGGTGCTGTAGATTGATTTGGATAAGTTAGGAAAAATCTGTGATTTCCCACCTCAAAAAAATCTTACCGTATCAGTCGGACCGACAGAAATCTAACCACATTTAGATTTATTAAATATGAGAATTACCAATGTGGTCGGAATTCAACCAGAATTCAGACCTTGCATTGCAGCAACTCTGACCTGTTAAGGAGAGCACACAGAGTGAGGACTGATGACATACAGTTCAGAGCAGGGAGTGAAGCAGGAGCCGAACGGTCAGATGTAGGAATATGGCAGAGGAATCTAGTGTTCTCTGAAAATACATTTTAAAGTGCACAACGTATTATTTGGTGTTGTAAGACTGATACATGTATTACATACACGCAAAATAATTTGGAATGTTGCCTTTATACTTTAAATAATTCAAATATACAAGCAAACTAGAAGCTGTTAGATATGCTTGAGACAAAATTATAAGGTTCATTATCATAGGAACACAAACATGTATTGCTAATGCTATAGCGACTTGCTAACTAGTTAGAGTACTGCCCCCCTGTGTGAAGGAGAAAGGTGAGTTTACGTACCTTTTCTAACTTGTCACAGTGCTCTCTCTGTAGCTCTTTGGCTGAGATCATCACTCTTGATTATGTCATTCAATTCAATGCTTTCCCATAAGAAAGCATTGGGAGACTAGTGCACATGCAAAACTCCTCCCTCTGGCAATCAAATCTGTCACTCAGCTATTTCAACAGAGACACCTCCAATGGCTTTCAGTGTGACAGCCATTAGAGGCATATTAACCCATCAATTTAACATTGATGTTACTTAAGAATGGGCTCTGAGTTGCATGGTTAAAACTACAAGGACGTGGCACCCAGACCACTTAATTAAGATGAAGTGATCTGGGTGCCTATAGTGGCCATTTAAAATAAGGATTTTAAGACAAAGTAATGGAGGGGAAATTTGTCGGCTCAAGGTTAATCACTAAATCAAGAAATCATGGTAACTAAAGTTTCCAAATGTTAACATTAAACAGTTTATTTTTTTTACCAGTTAAAAAAAAAAAAACCCACACAAGATTGTTTTGTAATTATGCTATTTTGTTCCCCTGCTCAGTCCCCTATAATTACTGGAAAAGTGAATATGTCTGTGCTATTTTTATAATTTGGATATTTATTTTTTTTGCAGTCCCTTTGTCAGTTTTCCATAATCCCTTAATATGTTATTTTTAGGGTTCATACAGTAAACGAAGAATTTACAAGGCTGTTCCACACTTAAGGCCATTAAGTTACCATTCTATGTTTCTATAAACTACCACAACAAGAGGACATAGTCTTAAATTAGAGGGACAAAGGTTTAAAAATAATATCAGGAAGTATTACTTTACTGAGAGGGTAGTGGATGCATGGAATAGCCTTCCAGCTGAAGTGGTAGAGGTTAACACAGTAAAGGAGTTTAAGCATGCGTGGGATAGGCATAAGGCTATCCTAACTATAAGATAAGACCAGGGACTAATGAAAGTATTTAGAAAATTGGGCAGACTAGATGGGCCGAATGGTTCTTATCTGCCGTCACATTCTATGTTTCTATGTTTCTATGTAAGTGATCTGTAAAGCTATCTGAGTTGAAAAGTCCCTGTTTAGTGAATAAACCCCGTATTCTACCATGAATTACCTAATTATAGAAGCAAACAGATTGCATTACAAAACAAGGCTTTATCATTTCTATTGTATTAGCTACAGCTAAAGCTGTTTAAAACATGTACAAAGATAAAGAAAAACATGAATGCAGTTTGCCAAAGATGGCAGCTACAGTTTTTGGCAATTGTGCAGGTTTTCACTTCTTTAAAGGTTTTGAAATCTTTGGTGACTGTTCGATTAAGGCTACCACAGATCTTAGGAGAGGCACAGCCATGGGTGGTTAGTCTGTTGATCAGGTGTCCTGAAAATATAAAAGAAGGACTTTTAAACTTCACGTTTGAGTTTCTTTTGAAAATACAGTTTCCTCAATTAACATGTAAACATCATCATAAATTATATTTTCATTAACCCTATCTCTCAACTCTTTAAATTGACACATAGGGACACTAGTTTAAGAATGTTAATGGAGCTGTGGTCACGGGCAGGTCTATTTGGAGACATTCTAGTTAACTTACTAATTTATTCAACTACATATAATTTAATTTAATTTATAACAAGGACAGTGTATTTTATTCCCACAGTCTGATTTCTAAACATATTTACAGTAGTTTCAGGACACATTAATGGGAGTATTATTGCTGTGGAACTTATTATACATTCAGACACACCTACGAGATGGACCTCCTAGAAAATAGGGACATTAGAATAGAAGAGAGGAACAGAGTAATTTGGGGGCCAAAATAGGGTCTGTCCCTCCTAAATAGGAACAGCGATTCTCTACTATTCAAATTTTATTAGTTTATTTTTTATTTTTGTAATTTTTACTGTCAATTTAATAAAGTCTGGATTCTTGCCAATAAGAGCAGTTGGAACATTAAATCTAAGTGGAGAAATTCGATCCATATCGAAGGATACTTACACATAGTTCTAAAGACTGAGTTAGCTTTTGATTGACTCAGCAGTATGTGAATGTGTTTTACCATATGTTTATATTATCTTCTGTACCTTGACATACTACACAATGTACTTTTGTTTTGTATAATATATATATATATATATAACAAAAATGTCCAGTCCTTGCACTCAGATATATACACAGCAGTATTCTGCAAATATCATTGCAGGGTGCAATAAATATATACAAAGTGTAAGTATTGGCTAGCACTCACGGTCTTGAAGTAAAATGCTTATGCCCTTTCGGGTCTACTCTTCAATATGTAAATCCATTACAAATAATTGAATATCAGATCATTTGAAGCTTCTCTGTACTTTATTTCCTAGCCCACTCATGTGTTTCATTTTACCCCATTCATAGAGCAGTGAATCCAAACAGGTGTTAGAAGCGCCAGCCATTTAAACCCGTTCATCCTTTTTCCCCAACCACACCAAATGACTCAAATCTTCTACCCCACTCTTTTCCGTTTCTAATATATGCCATCAGTCTTCTTTACTACTGTATAGTTGTGTCCTATACAAATGGAAAACAATATTTGAAAAATATATATATGACAGGGCTAAGATCCTATGGGACTTCAAGATCCAGACAGACAAGCAAGTGCTGGTCAACCAACCAGACATCGTGGTGGTAGACAAGTAACGAAAGACTGCAGTCATGGTGGATGTGGCAATACCCAGTGACTATAAAATCAGGAAGAAAGAACATGAGAAGGTGGACAAATACCAAGGACTGAAAGAAGAACAAGAAAAGATGTGGAAAGTGAAGGCAGTAGTAGTCCCAGTTGTGATAGAAGCACTCTGGGCTGTGACTCCCAAGTTGGGGGAGTGACTTAAAAAGATTCCAGGTGGGACATCTGAGATCACTGTCCAGAAGAGTGCAGTTGTTTGACCCCTCTTCAAACATAGCGCTTATGGTTGTGACCATAAAGCTCTTTTTTGGTCTCGTCACTCCAAATTTGTGCGAGAAGCTGTGAAGCATGTCAAGGTGGTGTTGAGCATATTGTAACCGGACTTTTTTTTGGCATTGGCACAGTTAAAGTTTCTTTCTGGCAACTCGACCATGCAGCTCATTTTTGTTCAAGTATCGTCATTTTGTGCTCCTTGAAACAACCACACTGTCTTTTTCCAAAGCAGCTTGTATTTCTCCTGAGGTTACTTGTGGGTTTTTCTTTGTATCCCGAACAATTCCTCTGGCAGTTGTAGCTGAAATCTTTTTTGGTCTACCTGACCATGGCTTGGTATCAAGAGATCCTTAGATTTTCCACTTGTTAATAAGTGACTGAACAGTGCTGACTGGCATTTTTTTTAATAACTTTTTTATTTGGTTTTCCATACAAAAGACATATCCAGGGCAATTGCCCTACACTGAACACCTTAAATCCAGCTCTACGGCAATCATCAATGTATTACAACACTTACAACAACACCATGGGGAATGTTGGGTGGGACTCCTACCAATATTTTTCCTAGCAACAATAGTTTTGATACAAATATTTTGTTCAGGTATTACTACCCTCACTCTCCATTTTTTCAAACCAATGCTTACCTATCTCCTGATTTTTTGATATGGCTTGGAAAATAAAGAATCCATCCTTAATTGGTATAGGACTTGTATTTTAAAGTGCTCAAATCTAAAGTTTGCCAAGCTCTTCCAATTTTGTGCAACAATTAGTTTGGCTGCCCCATATAACGTACATATATATATATATATATATATATATACATACACATTTTTAAACTGTGCATTTTGAATATTGAGCTGTAATAATATGTTTTCTGGACCTCTGGGGATTCATTTCCCCATTAACCTTTCTAGCCCACAAAAAAAACATTGACCATAACTCTTTCACCAAATCACACTCCCACCGTATATGTAAAAAAGAGCCATAGTGTTTGTTACATCTCCAGCAGATCAGGAAACTAGGATTTTACATTTTAGCCATCTTAGATGGTACCATATACCACCTGTTCAGTACCTTGAATACCATTACTATGATATACAAACAGTGTATATTTTTACTTGTTTGAGATAGCACCCGACACCACTCCTCCCATGAAATTTAGATTTTAAGGTCTTTCATTTTTGGACTATCAAATTATTAGTAGGAGCTTTAATATTTAGCAAACCTCTTCTGGCTTTAGAAGCTACTTGTAATACCGCCTCATTATTTAGTATTGCACTTAAAATTTCTATGCCCTCTGAAGAGTTAGAAAGAACATTTTGTTTTATAAAATTTGTAATCCTGAAATAGTTGTACAATTATTTTGTCAATAGCTGAAACTCTTGAATAATTTTGCGAATGGTTTAATGTTGTCATTTAACAATAATTGATTAATTTGCTTTATGCCCTTTCGGGTCTACTCTTCAATATGTAAATCCATTACAAATAATTGAATATCAGATCATTTGAAGCTTCTCTGTACTTTATTTCCTAGCCCACTCATGTGTTTCATTTTACCCCATTCATAGAGCAGTGAATCCAAACAGGTGTTAGAAGCGCCAGCCATTTAAACCCGTTCATCCTTTTTCCCCAACCACACCAAATGACTCAAATCTTCTACCCCACTCATTTCCGTTTCTAATATATGCCATCAGTCTTCTTTACTACTGTATAGTTGTGTCCTATACAAATGGAAAACAATATTTGAAAAATATGTATAATACATATTAGGAAAGTATATCCCACCATCCTTACTTTTCTGCATCAATTGTTTTTGTTAATTGTTGGCTTTTTCTCCTACCAAATGAAGCCAAGGTTGAGTCATTCTTAAGGGAAGCAAACAGAATAAATAAGACCATTTAGGCATCAGATAGGCATTAATTAGGTTAATTCTCCCCCACCAAGATAACTCGACATGCCTCCATTTTTTTCAGGGAGCTATGAGTATATCTGAACATACTTAAAAAATTTGACTGCATTACCTCCGCTATATTTTTAGTTATTATTATGCCCAAATATGGTAAGGTATTTCTAGACTATTTAAATTTGTACCACTCTTCCAAATGGGACCTGCCGCTTCTATCTATATTGATGGTCATTGATATTGATTTATGCACATTCATTTTATAGTTTGATATAAAACTGTATGCTTCCAAGTCCTTAATTAGAACTTTTAGCAATTCGACAGGGTCGGTTAGAGTCACGATCAGGACATCTGAATAAAGGTTCAGCTTAAGATCTTTCTGTTTAGTAGAGAATCCTTTTAGTAAAGAGTTGTTTCTAATATTATTTGCCAATATTTCCATTGTCATAACATACAAGATTAGGGATAACGGGCATTCCTGTCTGGTTCCATTGTGTAATGTGAACCAGTCCGCACAGATGTTAGGTCCCACTGTTCTTGCTGTAGGGCTGTCGTATACTGACAGGATTGCCCGGTACATCCAGTCATGAATACCAAATTTCTCCAGCGTGTTGTGCAAGAACTCCCAACTGACCCTGTTGAATGCCTTCTCAGCATCCACTGCTAAAATCAACAATGGGACTTTTTTCTTATTAGCGTCATCTAATATATCTATTATATGCCTCGTATTATACTCGTTCCGGGACAGAACCTATTTGGTCCTTATTAATGATGTTATTTAAGGTATCTTTCAGTCTGTTTTTCTAATATTGCCGAGAAGATCTTTACATCAGTATTTATCAAATACATTGGTCTGTAGCTTTCCACTTTTGATGGATCTTTATCCTGCTTTAGTATTGGAAGAATGTTGGCTCTAAGCATTTGTCTAGGGAAACCCCCCTTGTGATAATATAGTTAAACGTGCAAGCTAGATGAGTGCTAATCAAGTCTACAAAGGAACTGTAAAACAAATTTGAAAAATCATCTGGTCCTGGATTTTTGTAGACTTAAGGTTAAGAATTATCTTCTCCACCTCTTGGGCAGTTATTGGGCAGTTTAAACTAGTTTTTTGGCTATCCGAGATCTTAGGGGTGTTATTATTCTCAAAGTAGTCCTTCATATTTTTTATTAATAATTGGAAGATTATTATGCTATAATATAAATTGAAGCAATCTCCAATTCCCTTTCCTCATCTGTCAGCCTTACGATTCTACTTCTACTGCCTCTCAATTTTTTTGTCAGTAACCTGTCTGCTTGGTTTCCTTTACTATAATACTTGCATCTTAGTTTGTTTAGAATTTTTACATTATTTTCTAGAGGTTTTAAGTTAATTTGATTCTGTATCTTATGCAAAGTCTGTGAGTTCTCTCTAGAGGGAGTTTGTTTATTTTTATTAGAAGCTTTTATTAATTTCGTTTGCAGAGTTACCATTTCTGCACTACTTTCTGTTTAAAACTTTGCATACAGACTTATGAAGTTCCCTCTCATGGTAGACTTAAAAGCACACCAATTGTTAGTGTATGAGATGTCTCTAGGATAATTTTCTGCAAACAAACAAATTATCTGTTTTTTAAATATCTCAAGATATGTTTTATTGTACAGTAGGTGATTGTTTAACCGCCAGGTATCTCTGTTAATTTTGTTCCATTTCTCCTTCATTGACCACATGTTAATGCTATGGTCTGAACAAGAATTATCCAGAATTTTTATATCTTCTAAGTTTTCCAGAGAGGCAAGGTTGCCTCAAATTCGCGAGTATGACAAATGTACTCTAGAAAAAAAACATAATATGAGACTTTCCAGGATATGAAGTTCTCCACAAATCAAAATAATCAAACTTATTCATATTACTACTTGTTACAGAGATCTGTAACAAGTAATCTGTAATCTGTCTGCTACAAACGGATACTTTAGTTTCAATTTGGATACTTTGTTCTTATGCGAACATCCTTTGTAGGCCATTCATATGCACGAATGACCGACCACCCAGCCCTTAGTGTGTGCCGCTAGTTAACCCTGTTCACCTTTAAAACACTGAATAAACTGATGAATGGCAGACCACCCTACCTGAGAAGTGTGTTGACAATAACCACCCTGGAGCTGCGGGTTGTGGTTAACCACAGACTAATCGGCTGGCATCAGGGTGGTCACCGTTCGTACATAAAGGACCAAACGGGGTGACAAACAAAATACCGAAATAACTACCGACCGAAGACCACCTAGACACTGGCGTGTGTCTTCACTTAACCACCATGAAGCTGCGTTTTCTGTGGTTAAACGCAACATAATCACTTATCACCAAGGTGGTCGCCTTTCGTATGCCGAAAACGAGGTGACGCCCATCTTTTGTCATTGAACACCCAGCGGGACTTGATCATCAAAACCCTGGAACTATTATCGGACACTGGGTTGCACGAATCCCACTGAGTTTTCAGTTGTCTCATCAGTTCGGGCAAAGAAACACGAAAGCCATATAGACACACTTTATTTCCGTGACTTTCATACATCATTCATGAGATCTGAGCACAATTTGTATATTTTGTGCGCTTAGATCCAAGCTGTCTGGAGAGGGGTCAGATAGAATATTTCAGTAAAATAATGTGAAAGTTATGTATTTTTATGCTGTTTTCGTGTGTTGAATAAAACGTGGGTATTTTCATGTACCTGGAGATAATTGAGTTACTGTAACCGTTGAGACCAATTATCTCCAGGGTAGGGGGAAGTGTTTCAGAAAATGCACTTTACTCTTATTGGTTGGGACATTGCATTGTCCAGTGTACCATCAGGTCCAGGGGGTTGTCCTCTGGCCTGAAAACTTGTATAAATTACTGTGCATGACCACCAATTAAACCAGTTTGTTTTACCCTCAACTCGCAGCCTCGACTCGTGTTGTAGGAAAAGGTGTTATCCCAGCTTTGCTAATAGCTTGTGGGATTTTCTACATTTCCAGGAATTATTGTTGGATGCTGATCGGAGCAGCGCTCTCACTCTCCAAGATCGGGAACCAGGATGTCCAAGCGGTCCAACTTTCAGCTAGCCTGGAGGTAACCGTAATACTACTCAATGATTTAGCCAGTTTAACTAATCTATAATTTGTCGGTTCTTTCTTAGAGAATATTTTGTCTATTTTTGGGTTCAACACACAGTTAAAGTCCGCTGCTATTAAACAGATTCCTGTTTATTAATAATTCCACCTGTTCCAGAATTGTTTTCAAAACTAAAACCGGAGAGTCATTTGGTAGATTGATGTTAATCAGAGTGTAGTTAATCTCATTTAGCTTGCAAATAATAATTAAAAATCTACTCTCCGGGTCTTTAAATCAATATAATATGTCCACTTGTAGTGATTGGGAAAATATTATAGCTACCCCTTGTTTCTTTTTTATCTTTAACTGAAGTTTGAAATAGGATGGGTAATCTAGTACCTACCCATCTGACTTTATCAACTTCCCTCCAGTGTGTTTCCTGTAAGAAACCTACCTCCACTTTGTTTTTAAGCATATAATTAAATAATGTAGATTTCTTATGGGGAGAGTTTAGGCCCTGAACATTCACAGATATAATTTTAACCATTGTCCTGTATAAGATAAGCCTCCCCCCCATCCCCAAAGGTATGTACATAATTACTAACATACCATATATATATAACATAGAAAACATACAAAACTTGGCCACCTGATCAAATCATCCAGACTGGCCTGGATCGACATCCTTCTCAGGGAGAAGAGGGAGCCACAGTATCCCAAAACCAAAAGAAACAAACTAAAATAAGCTATTTTTTGTCATTCCCCCGTCCCTCCGAGAATGAGTCAATCCTACATGGAGTGCGTGAACTCCTCTGTTTTTGTGCCCATAAATTAGACACTCAGAGAGGCATGAGGTATTGCGAGACTCCAACTCCCCTTCCTATAATACAACAGCATTTAATACTAGACCGCACAGCTTAACCTATTATTGCTTCTAACAGAAAAAAAACTCTATAGTGTTTTTATTGTTAATTCCCCATATACTTATTCACTCTGTGCAATTTTCATTATTAATATAATTTTGTTTTATTTTCAAAGATTAATAATTAAAGTGCTAACATGAGTGCTATCAACTTATATACCTCTAATTATGTTTCTTAATTATCCAAATCTTACTGCTTCAACCCCTTTTTTCTAAATACTTCTTGCTCACCCCCATAGTTCGTGTACCCCTGTTATCCAGCATTCCCTTATTTATACCATCTATTCAAAAACCAATATTATTTTTTACTTTACTTCTATCGTTTGATTCAAAGGGTGGAAGATTATGAAAAAATTTGCAAAAATAAATAAAAATAATAAATTTACTTATATGTTACTTATATAATTGACCAGTTAAATTATTCTTCAACCGTTTAACCCTATCTTGTTTGGTATTATTAGCCAATTATTTGGTTTTTTTCCATCCATTTGGCAAGCGTCTCAGGAGTGTCAAACATTTCCATCCTATCCATCAAGTATAATCTAAGTGAAGTTGGGAAACCCTAGATATATTTCACATTTCTTTGTCTCAGAATGTTCAGATGTAAACAAATTTTTTCGCCACACTCTCATATGAAATGATAGATCTGGGAATATAATTAGATTTTTGAATTTATCTTCCAATGCCGGTTTGCTTCTCAATGAGGCCATGATTCTGAACTTAGTGTGGTAAGAATGGAATTTGACAATGACATCTCGAGGGAGAGAATCTGATATTTTTTGAGCTCTTGGTAAATGGTAAAAACGGTCCAAAAGAAAATCCCTTCTTCAGGTATTAAGCTTATATAATATTCAGTGAGAAAGTCCTTCAGAATAGTGTTAGAAATAGCTTCCGGGATATTGCAAATTCTGATGTTTGATATTCTTGAACAATCCTCCATAAAGTTTATCTTGACTTCCAGTTGAGCAAATTTTATCTTCATGTCTCAGAATATCATCTGTAATTGATTACATTTTGTATCAATCTGTGAGAAATTGACTTCTACCGTAGCAAGTTTTTCCTGCATGGTTTTTAATTCTTGATCTAATTCCATAGTGCTGGTCGTGATGTCACCTTTTATACTGTTAGATCATTTTTCCAGATAACTGGTCACAATCTCTTCTGTTAAAGGCCTAAGCCCCTGGGCGTCCCAAGGGGGATTGTGTTTTTGCAGAGTTATTGCATCCCCATTATATGGGGATATTTGGGATTTATTTTGGGAAGGAGAAAAAAAACCTGATAATCTTTTCTCTGGTAGCTGTTCCTTTTTATCTTTTTTCTTCTTGTCTTCCTGTACCTTTTTTGAAGCCATCTTTATTGCTTAAAGGCTCTATAATCACTTTTTCTTGTGTCCTTTTTATTTTTCCTTCTTCTTTCCTCTTCCCATCTTTCCTTCTGTCTTTATATCTTTATACTTTTTGGACCACACAACCCTTAATGGTTTTGCTTAATCCAGTATTCTTATGTAGTTAGCCTGCGCTTATTAAATGATTGTATAGAATTGCTGCAGGTCTATCAATATGCCTTGATTTACTTTTTAACCTCTTTACTGGGGCAAATCCAGTAGAGGGATCCAAATGCATAAATTGTACATAGATTACAAAAATAGATTTACTTATCTTTTCCGGTCGTTTGAGGACGTTCTTCCCTTCCAATATTGTTCCTTCCACTTGGCTTAACTCCATCACAAGTCCCCTTCCTAATCTTCAAAAAAAAAAAAGAAAGCACTCAGAATGAATGCTCTCCGTTTTCTGCTTCAACTTCACCTCAAAGGCTGCTTCCATCGACCCGGGTACAGCTAGCTTTTCCTCGTCTCTCAGTGCAGGAGCTGACAGCGTTCCACATGTACAGCGATGATCATAGGTCTCGCCTCCTGATAGCCCCGCCTCCGATGTCAAAGTAACTACGTCATACGTCACTCTGCTGACTGGTATTTTCAAGGCTTTGAATATCTTTTTATATCCTTTTCAATCTTTATAAATTTTCATTACCTTGTTATGCAGGTATTTTGACTGTTATTTTCTGCTCCTCATGGCTCAGTATCTAGCTTGCTAGCCTGCTCAGTACATCCACATTAGAGCTAACAAACTCATTGACTATTTATACACAAACACTAGCTTCAATTTAAAAAGCAACAGGTGTGGGAAATTAACTTTAATTGCCATTTTAACCTGTGTATGTGTCACAAACATATATTCCGGACCCTATTGTGTTAAAACCACCATCTAGCTCCCTTGCCCCCCTACACCACTAAATATAGTAAAATCGTACTTTTGTTCAAGTATGCTGATGATAACTCTGCCCCTGATCTGCCTGCTTGGCTGACATGTTTAGAAGTGTTATTCTGAGTCAATCAGAATGCTTTCCCATAGGAATGGCTGATATTGTCAATGAGGCAGATCAGGGGCAGAGCCAGAACTAGTTAAACAGCCCTGATCATCATCACCTCATAGATATTCATTGAATCAATGTATCTCTATGAGGAAAGTTCAGTGTCTGCATGCAGAGGGTGCACTGAATACTGAATACTGCCCCAGGAAACACCTCTTGTAGCCTACCCCTAGGCTGTAAAGTAAACACTGCATTTTCTCTGAAAATACACTGTTTACTGCAAAAAGCCTGAAGGGAATGATTCTAGTCACCAGAACAAATACAATAAGCTACAGTTGTTTTGGTGACTATAGTGTCCCTTTAACAAGTCCAAACATTCAAGGGTATGTAAACTTTGGATCAGGGCCATTTGGGTGATTTCTGTTATTGTTACAATTTAAAAGGGAGCCAAACAACCATGTGATAATAAATGGTTTCATATGATCACTATCCTTCAATAAAATGCTTATAAATAAAATCTTTTTGCATGATCAGTCATATTTTCAAAGTCAGTGCCAACATTTCGAAATGTCTGAAATGTATTTAAGTTTATTGTAAAGATTTACAAACTTTCAGCTGTTTGCAATTACCAGATTAAACAAAAGCAATTGAAATAGCTCAGCACAACAAATGCTTCAAATAGTTCCCCCTAACCTGTAACTTTAAAACACTGTTGTACTCGTGAAACATCGCTGAACATAAATATGACTGTTTTAGAGCAGTAAAACATATAGTGCTGATTATATCATCAGTGAAAGGGGAGTTTTTTTGTGAAAATTTGAAAAACAAATATGAATGCTAACTGTGACCAGGGTTTGTAACTAAGTAGCTACTAAACAAGCCTGTACATACTCTATTTTGAATACACTGGGTTGTCTACTTTTGCAAATAGTATGTCATGGTGGGTTTCATTTTTATATCAAAGGCAACATAACCATTCTGGCAAATTTCAATGTGTAAAAACTGAAAAGGGGAAAGCCCTATATTTGACACTGTAAGTTTCCAAAACTCCATACAACTAGTACAAAAGTTGATACTGTTGTAACTGTTAGACATCTCTGAACACAAATATGTGTATTTTAGTGCAGTTAAAGTTAACAGTGTTATGACATTCACAGTTAAAATGCCATGCAAAAGAAATTACAAAAATGTCTTAATTTTTCATACCTTTTTGAATTTGATTAATATAAAATTATATTTCTTATATAAACATTTGATTTGAAATGAAATCCCTGTTTTTTCCTGAACACCGTTATATACAATAAGTGTGGATGCACTTGGTATGGAAGAGATACATTATGGTTGAACAGACATGTAGTAAAAATTCAGGTTTTGTTTAGATTTTGTTTTGATTAGAACTTGTAAAATTGCCCCAGTCCCTAAGCGGTTAACTTTTCTTTGTTTTTGTTTTGTATGTTTGTGGGGGTAGTTACTCTTTATGGGTGAGTGGGTGGGATCGAATAGACCATATCATTTACAGCTTTTGGATTTTTGGGATCAGGGAACAAAGGCATGATTTGAGTTAAAAATGCTGTATCATAGCTCTCCCTTTCATTTGCCTTTTGTACCAAACTCTCACTGTATATGGTGCTGGCTCTCCATATGTTAATATATGGTTCACTAACTTTATGTAACCTGCACACACTCTTAATAGTCACATCTATTCACCATCACTTTCATTCACACTCCTGCTGAATTGTATGCTCTTTCACTTTTGCTTGAGCAGAGTTTTAATTTAGTTAATTTGAGAAAATTCCTGTGTTAGGATTGAGACAATGATAATTAATATTTGCACTATCCTGAATTATATAATAGATGGATAGATAAGGTGTTTATATTTATTATAGGCCAATAATATATTTTACAACCTTAGAAAAAAAAATGGAAATCTCGAATGGATTGGGTTGTCCCTAATTGAAACTGCCAATGTATTATTTAATTAGATATTGAAGTTGTTGTATTTACCAACTTTGATCAGTTATTTTAACTCAGAATATCTAAGATAATATAGAATACTTATATAACAAGGATTTACACAACATATGGTATGCACGAAACCGGAAAGGTAAGTCATGTTGCTTTGCAGTTTCCTTAAACATTGTTGTCTTTGTTCTATAGAGAATTTTTAATATTGTATTGCAATATATTTTACCTTTTGAAAACTCTGTAAAGTGTTTGATACACTTTGTTTCATTCCCAAAACATTCAACGTACACATTAGGGTGACATATGCCGTATGTTTTGATGTCACAGGAAGGACAAATCAAACCATTTTTTTTTAGATTGACTGGTTGCTCATGAACTGAAAAATAAGATATAACAATAATAATGTAATAATACATATTAGCAAATAAGTTAACATATATGGATACAACTGTTGTTCTTTAATAACCAAGGTGTATGAATTGCAAAGAAAAAAAGGGAGATTAGCGAAAATTAAATTTGACTAAAAGCTGGTCAGAAAAGGGTAGGTGTATAGTGCAACAGTGCCATTAGACAGACACTGAATTGATGTTAGCTTTCTCACATATAGTATGGCAGAGAAGGAGCGACCCATTGTTACTTTCTAAACCTAAGGGATTAAAATAATACTAACTACTCACTTGTGGGTATCGAAGGTTCACATGTGTCAGTGTAACAGCAAGTGATGTTTTTTATTATGATTCTATTATTACTTCTGGTGGAACCATCAATGTTGCACTCAATGGATTTTCCACATCTCCGTGTAATCTCTGTATAATTTTTGCCTCCTGTAAGAAATAGAATGTTATTTGGTATGGATTAGTTTCTCTGCATATCCTAAGGCAAATGTTACTAGGGGAACCGTTGAAGCCAAGCCAAGTCCCAATGGACATTAAATCCCTGTCTGTCTTCCAATCATTATATAAACTATTCAGTCCCTGGAGCATATTGTCCTCCTGTGGTTCCTTAGTGTGTTTTTAGTGAATTGGTTTATCTGGTTATTGACTTGGCTTTTCCTGACTTTTCTGATCTCTGGTATCCTTTGACCTGGCTTGGTTTATCATTCTGTCTGTTTTCTGGTATTCCATGACCCTGGCATGTCTTTTATTACGACTCTGGGTGCGTTAAGTCCAGCAACCATAAGGACCAGTAATACTCCTCTATCCTTTCTGTATATAGACAGTTTGGATTCATGTTGGGGTATCCTGTACTACAATATTTAGTCCAAAATCTGTATATAAAACAGAAGGTCATCGCATAGGGTAAACATATAAAAAAAAGACTGAAATTAAAGCAGCACTCTGTGCTTTATATTATTATTTGAATATTGCTGTGGCATTTTGGCAGAAAACTTATAGTCTCCAAATTGTGGTATTTAAACTGATTTTTTTTTATGTTTATCAATCGATAGCAATATCACACTATTGTATACAAAACTTTTGGACCAGAATTTACTTTGCATCAATACGAATTTATACTTTTTGCATACCTGAATACATAAGCACACATACTCACAAATATTTCTAAGCACCATCTATACATTAATAGAAATATATATATATATTTGGAATATACCATAGGTGGTCTGCGTGGCTATAGAAAGGCACGCATCGTGCTCAGGAGAACACTTGACCGGAACGTTCATGCAGTCTTCTTCAGTCAATTCATGACATTCAAAGCATAATAAATAATTTACTAGAAGATAAAAAAAAAAAAAAAAAAGATTTAAGAAAAGGAAAATAAATAATACTCTAACATGCATGATTTACAGTGTGTTTAAATTTACTAAAATATAGATAATTTAACTGGAAATATTTAAATTAATCTATTTATTTTTTATTCTGAAAAGTCTCTTACATTCCTAAACTGTGACGTCTTTCCTATAATGTTTTCTTGCATTAACATTTCCTTAATTTTAGAACTACAGAAAATATGCTCAAAACGAGACAACATAAACATAGAAATGTGTTTGTATTTGCAATTATTTTACACATACGTGCCTAACAGTGCAAATCAAAAACATACATAAAGCAAGTTACAATTTATTCACAATCACATGGACAGAATAACCATCCGGACAGCTGCCTGCACGGGGACTGCCTGGGTTGTCAGACAGTCCCCCTACTGCTGTAAATAAAGTTACAAGAAATCATTGCACAAATTAAAGACTAAAAGTGGCAAACGATTTAAGTACCAATTGAACATTTCAAACACCATTTTCCACGTTTCAGTGTCAAATGAGCCATGCTTTATAATGTGGTAAATGTGAAAAGTGTCTTGCAGTCCTCTAAGTACTTCAAAAGAGAGTGTAAAATCGTAAATGTTATAAGTGCCAGATATGTGCAAAAAAGTTTTTTGCGATTTCCCAACATTTTCGCTTTTACTACTTTTACTACGCACTTACTACATTTACCACTTTTAGTCCTCAATTGTAAACACAATTTTATTTAATAAAAATAATTAAATTATATATATATATATATATATATATATATATATATTCTCATTCTTAGTTTATTTTGATATTAATGCATATTTTTTTCAATTCCTTATTTTTGTCATGCATGTGAAAACAACCAAGCTTGTAAGGCCATGACAACTCAATCAAGCAGAATAGTCAGAAAAGTTATAAGACAGTGACATGGTGTTTAGAGTAGCTGCACATTTTTTGTTTATATAAGGGTAGGAACAGGCTAATCAATTAGGTCTAACTATGTTAAAGATAAGGTTAATACACAATTTAGCACGTCTATGTGGACAAGATATACAGTGTGAGATGAGCTAAATAACAGAGAAGACTTTTTAGACACGAATAAGTATGCTTTCACTTAACATGCTAATGAATTGTTTCAGGCTAATAGGTCCCTGCCACAGTGTGAGACTAGTGTAAGACAAGGCCATGCTGCCTGTTCTCTCCACGGGTCTCCTGCTCAGCCGACCCCTTCAGGGGAAAATATGGGTCCTGCGTTCTCTTACAAGCTTGTGGGCTGGAGAGTCCAGGGATCAGGAGGAGTATCCTTCGAGCTGGATGGTGGTATCAGCTTGGTGAGCTTTTTGTTGCTCTTCTGGGATTTCTGAGGTGTATTCTCCGAGCCACAGAGACCGGCAGTGGGCAAGGGTTAGCTTTTGCCATTTTGTGGTGAGGTCTCCGTCGAGCCCAAACAGGTGATGGAGTGGGCAGTTTGCGCTGGATCTTCCTTTGTGCTCTCCGAGGTGAGTGTGCACATGAGGCAGAGTCCTGCAGATATTGGTGTAGCTTCTGCCAGAATGCCTCAAATATTTTGTCTAGGTTGGAGACGCGGTTAGCTTGCTCCCCATCAGGATCAGTGGGACACGTGGCTTTGGCCATTTTAGAGCAGGCCTGCAGTATTTGTATAGCGCCAGGGCCCTTGGAGAGTGGACCAGGTGGGATGCCGGTAGTATCGAAAAGAGAGCAGTGGTAGGCGAATATTTAGGTATTTGTACCAGACAGGTGAGGAGCTCTCCCAAAGCACGTCTGGCCGCCATGAAGGTCAGGCCCCGCCCCCATTAATGCATATTTTAATATCAAAATACACTTAGAATGGAAATATATATAAAAAAGAAAAAAAAAAGTATTTTCTCACCACTCCTGGGAGGTATGTTTATTTCTCATTCTCGGGTCCTCTACCATAGGCCTGGGAGTTGTAGGGTTCTGCGCAGTATTTTAGCTGGTCCTAGAACTGCACTCTTCTGGACAGCAATCTCAGATGTCCCACCTATAATCTGTTGAAGCCAATCCCCCAACTTGGGAATCACAGCCCCGAGTGCTCCTATCACAACTGGGACTACTACTGCCTTCACTTTCCACATCTTTTCTAGTTCTTCTTTCAGTCCTTGGTATTTGTCCACCTTCTCATGTTCTTTCTTCCTGATGTGATAGTCACTGGGTATTGCCACATCCACCACAACTACAGTCTTTCATACCTTGTCTACCACCACAATGTCTGGTTGGTTGGCCAGCACTTGCTTGTCTGTCTGGATCTTTGTCAGGGTTCTTACCCGAGATGAGAGTCTGTAGCACAGATATGTTGCTCACCCTTGCAGATAGACACAGTCCAAGGTTAGCCAGATAAGAAGCCACCTGGACTGTGAATCTGTACATAGGGGCTGTGCAGGAAAGATGATTCCAATGCAGTACCGACAAGGACACAATCAGCAGGATAGTCAAGGGATAGCCAAAGTCAAAGGATGCCAGAGGTCAGGATTAATGAAGTGTAGCCAAAGTCAAGGGATGCCAGAGATCAGGATAAATAAAGATAGAAGCCAGGGTCAATATGGAGATTAATATCAAGAGACTGGAACACAGGAACTGAACACACACAACAGGATCAAAGACTTGATAAGGATCCCAGTGTGAGGCAGTGCTTATATACCCAGTCCAGCCCCCAGTGCTGCAGATAAGCCAGGTAGAACAGGGCTAGAAATACAATCCATATTCAGTGCAGATGTTTTGGTAGACAATCCCAGCAACTTGGTTGTGTCTCCGTGTATGCTGTTCCTGCTAACATCTTGCATCCTGCTACTAGGTGCTGAACTGTCTCAGAGGCCTCTTTTCACAGTATGCACATTGGGTCTTACCTGGTATGGTAGACTCCATATTGATCTGGTGCTGAGTGCCTGCTCCTGTGCTGCTAGGATTAGTGCCTCAGTGCTGTCTTTCAGTCCTGCCTTTTCCAACCACTGGTAGGATTTTGTCATGGGAGCCACATCTACTATCTGCCGGTGGTAAAACCCATGGAGAGGTTTGTCTTGCCAAGGAACCTCCTCTTTTTCTGCATCCTCGATCTGTGGAAGTCTCATGCATTCCCTTAGCAGTTCATCTTTGGGAGCCATCTTGATGTACTTGTGGATGATCTGTGTTTCATCCAGGACTGTGGTCTTGACACTCATAAGGCCCCCGACCTCCTTCCCTCTGGCAGGTGTACAATCTATGGGTGCTGGATTTCGGGTGGAATCCTCTATTCATAGTGAGTAGTTTCCTGGTCTTGACATCCATGGTGACTAGTTCTTCTCTTGGCCAGGTTATTACTCCAGCTGATGACCAGCTGATAACCGGTAGGGCATATGTGTTGATGGATTGGATCTTGCTCTTGCCATTGAACTGGGACTTCAGGACCTGTCTGACTCTTTGGAGGTACTTGGATGTTGCTATCCTCCTTGCCTCTTCCTCATGGTTGCCATGCATTTGTGATACCCCAAGGTACTTGTAGCTGTTCTATACATCTTCTATTTGGCCTTCTGGAACTTCAACTCCTTCTGTCCTAATCAACTTCCCTCTTTTTGCTGTCATCCGCTAGCATTTCTCTAGTTC